GGCCCTGCTCCCTGGATGATAAAGAGGCTGTCTCTGGCGAGGACAAGAAGAGGAGGAGCCTGCACTGTCCTCCGTCATATCACAGCTGTCCCCACCACCCCTCCTTCTCTTAGCGGTTGTCTCTGCATAGAACAGCCGCCCATTCATTTATCTCTCCTGACACTATTTATAAGGGAAGAGAAACCAATGGCTGTATCTGTGACCCCAGATACAGGCAGAAGCAGAGACGCCAGCTCAGATCCTGATAGGGCCTCGGAGCAGACTGGGCGACGGGGAGGCCTGTGGCTGAGAGCTGCCTTGGGAGGGGGCCAAGGGCAAGGGTCAGAACTGTGGTGGTAGCACTGGAGATGGGTGGGGTGGGGCAGGGAAAGTGGGGTGTGGATGGCAGGGGGCATCCTGGTCATGAGCAGGAGATGGCACCAAAGCCAGATAGTCCTTGTTTGCCTTGGGGCAAGTCCCCGTACTCTCTAGCCCTCAGTCTTCCCGTCTCCAAACTGGGCTAATAGTGCCTGCCTTAGGCCTGTGGCAAAGGAAGAGCTACAGGTCAGTCCTTAGCGCTCAGGGCCAGGCACTTAGAAAGGGCTCAGAGCAGGGGCTGGCAGGTAGCATAGTGGTTAAGGGCACTGGACTCCCACATGGGTGACTGCAGTTCGAGTCCTGGACCTGGTGGCTTGTTTTCTCACTTTCTCTCTCTCTGTGTCTCTCTCTGATCAAATTAAGATAAATAAGCAAATAAAATAAAGTTAAATAATAATAAAATAATTTTTTTAAAAAAGAAAGCACTCAGAGCGGACCTTTGTCACGCTGCAGCTACAAGAGGAAGCCATCGTGGTGCGAGCATTGTCTTTTGGGACATGGGCAGACCTTAAGTGAGACTCAGATTCCTTCCAGGATGGAACTGACATGTTCCCTGAGAACACGCAGCAGGAGGACACCAACCCAAGTGCACTCCTCCGAGTTTGCCCTGGCTCCTCCTCCTCTTTTGCTCTTAGTTCATAACCCTGGACCAAATATCCTTTGTGTGCCAGACTAGCCTTTCAGCCACATCCTCAAATACTCATTGAAACTTCTCCAGGAAGTGTGAGTGCTGCCTCTTTGTCAGCAGTGACGATAGCACACGACAGCAGCCGCCCGAACAACAGACCAACATCCCTCGGCCACTCGCGATTTGCCAGGCCCTGCTCTAAGTGCTTGATACATATTCATTGATTTAATTGTCACAGCAACCTGACGGTGGCCAAGGAATCGAGGCACAGAAGGACTCTGTCACCTGCTCAGGATCCTGCTGCTGTCTGTGGCAGGCTGCAGCCTGTCCCATAAGTGCTGAGACCACCCAGGACTGACTCCACAGAGGGGGCTCTGCAGGCTTGACAGGAGGCACAGACCTCGCGGTCCCTCTGGGCTTTCCCCGTCCCTGACCAGGCAGGAGTTGGGTGGGGGGAGCACTGCAAGTCAAGAGGATGCTGGAGGGGACACTCCAAGGTTCCCTCCCCGAGCACGTACACTGGGTCATGCGTCGGTCGTCGCTGCTTTGGATGCGGTGGCCGTTGTGGAACCAGCTGATGGTGGGATAGGGCAGGCCGGTCACCTGGCACTCCAGCATGGCCTCTTTGCCCAGTCCCACCTCTAGGTCTTGTAGTGGTCGCAGGAAGTCAGGAATGGACAGACGCTCCAGCTCACCCTGCTCTGGCTCCTCGGGGATAGATGGCATCTTCTCCAGCTTCGAGCTGTAAGAGCCACATAGCTGTCCAGAGGCCCATGCATCCTCCTCCCTCCTCGGGCCTGGACAGCTCGGCCTGGGCAGTACCTGGGGCCTGAGGCGGCTGACCGAGGCTCCTCCACGTAGAGTTGTGCTGAGCAATGGGCCTGGCCGTGGGTGTTGGTGGCACTGACAGCATACAGCCCCTCGTCCTCGCTGCCCACGTGAGCAATGTGCAGCGAGTGCAGGCCCCCGTCCTGCTGCAGCCGCAGGTTCTCATTCTCCTCCACAGTGCGGCCTCAGGGGGGGGGGGGA